CCAACTTTTCCTCATCTACTATATCAGGGATATCAACACCATGCTCAACATACACATCAACCAAGTCATATCATTTAACATCTTTATCAAATTTTAGTACATCAGCATCATTTTTTATTGATGTAAGTCCCCTAGCAAAGTTAAACCTAGGATTCACATACAAAATGCACTTCCTATTTATATATCCCACAGTATTGATCAATGTCTCTAGCTCTATATAAGACATATAGTCAACATCCCATCCTCGGGTCATTTATGTTACATCCCCATCCAAATACCATTTAACAGGGGTGTGAACAAGTGTACCCCGATGGTGAATTCTTAACCTAATGGTTTGTGGTGTAGGTGACTTGTATAACATTATAAATAATTGTATAAGTCAAAAGGGACAAAACTTCATATTAAACTATTAGGATTTCATTACATTGGGACCACAGACAACCAATAGACAATGCATTAGGACCATAGACAAAGACATAGAATATTAGGGTTTCATTTAAAGGAAGCAAAACTACAAATCTATACAACCAAAAATTTATGTTTCTTAAAAGAGACCAGAAAACGCATACCTTGTCATCTTCGTTCGATTTCCATGATGGTGGTGAGTTATACATTGCAACAAGTTCTCCACGAACAATAGAAACAGCTACGAAGATGAAGTTGTGGACTTTTGTCCTCTTACATTGGTGGGCGGAAAGGATGGTGGTGGGTGAAAAAGATGAAGTCGGGATTTCTTTTGTAGAAAGATGAAATGAACAAAGATGAATTAAACGAAGTCAACTGCAATGATTTTATAATTCTTAACTGATTTTTTAATTCATAATAATAATATAAATATTAGTTTCAATTTAAAAATCAGATTAATAATAAAAAAATAATTTAATTTATTATTAGTAATGACATGGTAATAAGTGGGTAAACTATTAAAGTGACATGTAATTAAACTGGCTGACAAATGAAAAGAAATCATCAAAAATTCACAAAACTTGATATAAAGAGGGACCAAATAGTTGGATTTCTTTAAAGGATACTAAAAAGTTAGAAAAATCAATATATGAGGATCAAAATTATATTTAAGCATTTATTTTAAGTACATGCCAAATATGGACTACACGAATCTTAAAATTAAAAATTAGTTTTTCCATCCACTATCAATGACAATGAAGTAAATATGGATGTTATTTTTGAAAATAATTTTAGTTGAAACTATTTTTTCTCAAACACTAGCCAACTAAGAGGATAAGGTGATGGTGACAAACACTAAGGAAACAACAGGGTGATGAAAATTGCATAGTAAACGAGATAGCAAGGAAAGGGAAAAGGTCTGAATGGCATATTAATGAAAGTATACTTTTGAATTTACTGAGAAAGCACATTTCAAGACTATTTTTTCACAAAACGATAGTGTGGTTCCCTTACAGATGAATTTGATATATTTAAAGTGCGTTTGAAAATACATTTTCAAATTTATAAGAGCATTTTCGAATATCGGGAATGAGTCTCTAAAACTAGTTTTTCCAACCTGTTTCAATTGACAAAGAAACCAGATGGGAGAGTTGCATAGATGGGAAGGTTGGAACAGGATTGCTTAGTAAGAAGAGGAATTATACAAAATATCTACGAATTTGTTTGTGTTTTTTTCTTTAAAGTGGCAAAGATATGGAGCACTTGTTTCTCTATTAGAAGGGATGAAAATAGGTTAGACCGAGATAAACGTTGTCAAGTTTAAGTCTGGTATGTCAAATCACGAAGTCTAAGTCTGACATATAGTCTGTGATAAACTTATTTTTAAATTTGAATTTGACTTTTTCGAATGTCTAATTAGCTTTTTAGCCTAAATAAAAAAACTATTTATTTTAGAAATATGTAAACAAGCAATTTAAATAATGTTTAAATAGATTAACAAACTAAAAGATCAATGAGCCTAAAAAAAATTTGTGTTAACTTACTTCAACTTATTTATTAGTATAAATTTTATGAGACTATTTGTTTAAGATAAGTTATAACATTGTTTATGAGGTGTTTTCATCTTATTTTCACAAATTCTCCAAAATAGTCAGATTTTATTTATGTATTTTAATTCAAAATACAAAATATAACATAATGATAATAAAAAAAATATTTATATTTATTTTAATAAATTGATTTGATAGACTTATAATTTTTTTTTATGGTATGACACCAAACTTTTTTAATTAAATAGATTTATAAAATTTTAAGTCTTTTCTATTTAAAAAAATGCATAATTTAACCTGAATATGTGTAAGTTAGACTATATACCCTTGTTAATATGTCTGACTTATTTTCACCCCTAATTATAAACTCAACAAAAAGACTTAGAGCTGAGTTTACCTTACCAATGGCTGATGGATACGAAAGAAATGGATAATCCAGAGAATTTATCCTCAATTATGAACCACTGTAGCAAGTTTTCTCAAGCTTTGCAGGGCAGGATGAAGAAAATGACAAGTGGAGCATGCAACATTGTGGAACATTTGGAAACTAAGAAATGTCATCTTTTCAATGATAATTTCTTTATTAGGTGGTTTAGTATTTAATATCAAAATTGTATCATGGTTATGGCTTAATATAGGGAAGAAAAATCACAACTATGTAACCTTCTACGGTTGGCTCAATTGTCATGTCTAAAATTTGAGTGCAAAGACATTGATTGTAGTTTATCCGTTGTAATTGTAATTTGTATGGGTAAGAGTATTCTTTGTACTCTATTTCAATACAACTTTTTTGATTATTAAAACAAAAACATAAGATATTTTTCCATTTCCATCACTTATAGTAGGAGAAGTAATCCCCTAAACATTAATCATCTAATTGTAGTCCAATTTGTGTCATAATATCGCGACTTTTTCTAAAATTAATATATGCGGTAAAAGAAAGGAAATGCTCATTTTATTCTTATGTCTTTTCCCACACCACCGCGAAAAGACTAGAATATCCCCGGTGTTTGGAAATACATCATCTAACACACCTTTTTCACGCACAACTAAAGTGAAAATGATGAAAGACCTTTATTCTGTAAAATATTGATCCGGAGATATATCTCTATATGAATAAAATATTAATTCAGAGATACACGTCCAAAATACCCTTTAGTTCATTAGTTATTGAGCTATCCAAACATGCATCTCTGAAATTATATTTGATAAAGCAAAGCAGAAACAACTATGACAGAATAAAATTCATATCTTAGAATAACTCCAAAGTAAACATTATATAAATTTAACATTCCATATTAAAAAAAGGTAATTACATATTAAAAAAAGGTAATTTGGACATTGCAACATTCTTTTAACATTGTCGGTTGATTTTTGAATCGTCGCATCAACTTCAATTGGACTCTTGGTTAAGTAACGATAAAAGGTACTCACATCACCTTCAAATCATGTCTTCAGTTCAAACAACGTGAACTTCGTTATCTATCAAGGATGAACGGTATTGTAGGAGAATATTTAATTTAGTTTTCAGATCGACAAAAACCATGTCAGATCAACAAAAACCATGTCCTCGCAGATTCGAAATTGAAGTAGGACTGTTGTGCCATTGAAATACACAAACAATGGGGTGACACTTAGAATAGAGGACATTGACATGATTGCGTCCAAAGATGTATTTCCGAATGTTTGAAAAGCAAAATCAAATTTTCAAGGGTGCCATATGCTCATATAAGGACGGAATCAACATTTCCTTAAAAAAAACTGTATTATAAGGCATAAACATGAGAAGATGGACGACGTGGGTCCAAATTTATGGAAGTGGAACCATCTAACAAGCATTTTGAAAATTTAAACCTATCAACTTTCTTAAATGTGTAAAACTAACTAAAGATAAAGATAAATATCTAGAAACCAGAATTATGAGTTTATTTCAATGTTTTTCTTCAAGTGCAATATAAACAATACAATAAGTCGCCAGTAAACAAGTAAATTTCTCTACTCATGGGAGCTTTAATGCATCTTACGAATAATAAGAACTTCAAAAAAAAAAAAACATCCGCAAATATTTATAATACTTCACCATTTTCATTCATTAAAACCTTATTACTAGTAAAGGAAAAGAACCAATAGACTCGACCAAAAAAAATAAAATGACAAATTACTCTTGGTGAGAGCAAAAATGCAGAACTGTGACAGAATACAAACTGAGTATCCTAAACAATTGTTGAACACAAATAAATGGGTAGAAATAAACTTGTATTATTCAATATTCCTAACAACATTTTCAATATTTTCAGAGATAGCGAAATTCCCTACATTGCTTATATAACAAAAATTCCAATATTTTCAGAGACAGTGAAATTCCCTACATTGCTTCTATAACAAATTTTCCAATATTCTTCATAGCAAATGCTTCATCAAAATGCCAGATTATTTGTTAAACATGAACTGAAATCCAAGAAAAACCTTGAGCAAAGACAAGAAAGATAGACCAATAATACTCCAATTGACTGAGAACAGGACATACAAAGCTAGCGAAGATGAAACTAAGACCATTAACACCAAGAAAAAAAGTTGACAGAACTTATTATTAGACATGCCAATTCCACCCTTGTCCAATGGTCAAATTGGCCAAACCCACAATGCTGCTTCACTTTCAACATGTGAAACCTAGTAAGGATCAAGCTTAAACCTAATCCTGGAAATACTACCCCGCTACTGTTCCCTAGAAACAACAAACTGAGTAACAAAAAGCTCCCCCGTCAAAAGAAAATAAAAGACGAGAGGAACAAATCAAGCCAAGACTATCATAATACACAATGGGCCTGATTGCAAATTTATAACAGTGCTACATGGCATTAACAAGTAAAAGATTATGAATGAGGATGCTAAAACACTTTCAAGGTTAAGATGCACCTGATGATACTTCCACATCAAACTGCTCCAAAGTAACTAGAAAACACAAGGTTGTAATGAAATTTACTGCCATTCTACATAAACAGCTCCTTAGATGAATGTCTCGTTATCTAATTTACTCGCCACAGACTATGAGTTTACATGGTGACCATTACCCCCAGAATTGCTATTATATCCAACTACAGAGCGCTGAGCAAAATCAAGTAATATTTTTTTCTGGCGATCGTCAGTGTGAGGTAGACTTGCACGCAAGAGCTCAACGGGCATTTCCCTACTTATAGCTCTAGCAACATCAGGCCCAATGACTGCCACATTTGATGTCCCTTGAGTAAGAAATGAATGCATGATGCTGTCATACTTATTGACACAATACTTGGTGAGAAGACCAAAGAATTCATCAAATGAAGCCTGCCAAAGTGAACGGTTTCTTATGTTATAGTTGCTAGCAGCATGAAGATCAGTTAACAGTTCAGTAGCTCTCTCAAGCACTGATACTAAAATAAGGGAAGTCCCATCTCCAGCAGGGCTTCCAAGGGGGCGTAGAGGCGGAGGCTCAGAAGAACAAACAACTGAAGCTAGGCAAACGCTAAGTGATACAAGATCCATTTCGCGGATGCATTTTGAAACCACCTTCGCAAGGTTAATTACAGTTTCTGCTGCAGCTGGATCAGAGGGAAGACCGCCAAATAAGAATCTTAAATGCCGAAAGATGGTCATGCAGACTATTCGCATAAGCTCCCCACCTGGAAAAAGTAGTTGGAGGTACCTAGCAAGTAGTTTTCGACCTTTGGGTAGAGAAACTATCCTGAGAAAAACAAAGTCATCTTTTGCAGCAAGTTCAACTGCATGTCCATTCTTTCCAAGTGGATCAACTAATTGAAGTGAGGCTGAAAGTCCTTCCAAAAGACCCTTCCTTTTCCGTTTTAAATGATCTCCATTATCTTGAAGCTGCTTATTAAACTGTAGGAAACGGTCAATATCATCTACATCAAGAAGAACACAAAGACCGTCTTCAATTGTTACCCTTGCTGCCAACATTGGCTCCTGTTCAAGAGGCTTTTCTGATATGTTTTGATCGGGACCAACAGTACGTGAAGAATTTGGTGGATCAACTTCCAGTAGAGGACGGGGCCTGCGAATTGACGAGAATGGAACCCTCCCTAGAGCATCAACCTGAAGAAAAGCATGTGGCTCATTAGCAGAAGCTCGTAAAGGGATTTCCCTTATTTGAGCTGGTGAAAAGTGACGCCTCAATTTAGCACCTGAAGATTTTTTTGCAAGACAACCTTGATTGTAATAATCATCTACATATGGATCATTACTATGTGTTGCTGCAAGCTGCAGCCTGAATATATTCTCAAGTTCCTCAGTCGTCATATACCTAGACCTAAATCGGGGCCATCCATTATTGAATTTATTGTGGTTACTCGCATCAAAACCCTGAGGAGAAAATCGGAGATTCTGCCTACCCATTGGAGCAGGTTTTGGCATTTGATCCCTCAGTTCCATCACCCCTAGCATCTGATCATATTTGTTGATCATTGGTAAACCAGAAGAAATATTGGGATGAACTCCATTATATAGCCCTGCCTGGTTGACCAAGTGATTCGGCATTCGCTGATTAAGAGGGGAACCCATAGGAAACTGGCGAATGTTTCCACCAAAAGGTGACCCATGGTTTAATCCACCCAACTGTAGTGCAGAATTGGATAAATGAGAACGATTTTGAGGAGATAGAGCCATCTGAGCTCCTACAGCATGATATGGAATGTTTAAGGGGCCTGTATTGTGACTGGGAGAAGCCTGCTGAGGTCTACCACCCGGTGGGGGATAAGATGTAAAAGAAGAATTAGGTGCCAAAATAGAATCATTAGAAAAATGAAGGTCCTGTTGTTTGTCGGGATATAAAGATGTACTGTACAAGGACTTTGATTCTTCTATGTGTGCAATGGAGGAATGTGGCTGTGACGACCATCGTTTGCCATCCTGTGTTTCAGAATCACGAAAAGACTGATCAAACCAATTAGGAACCGATTCATTTGAGCCATGTTGAAGGTAGGGTTGTTGCTGCCTTTGCTGCTCAGGATATGACAAAGTTCTATACAAGGAATTAGATTCTTGCAAAGGGGCAAGAGAAGAATAAGGCTGCGATGACAGTCTTCTTCCATCCAAAGAACCTTGACTATCATAAGGATTCTGGTCAAACCAGTTAAGATCATCATTCCTCCGTGTCCATTCAGCCGTAGAATCTGAGTTATAACAAAATAAATAATTCAATCATGTGGAAAAATACTGTAAACAGTAAAAAATAATGAATGCTGGAATAGAGCTACTAAAATGCAAAGAATACAGTAACTTTGAACACAACACGATACCTCGAATCTCATCTTAATGCAACAAACTTCAGAAGTGAATTAATTATACACACACAAACAGACAACCCATTCTTATTAAATTGCAGCCATGACATGGAGTAATTTCATTCACCTGCCAATTGCCATAAACTCTGTAGTGTTACAGTTTCTGTGGGCCTTATTAGCCCTGAGGGTAAAAAAAACCTAAAATGCTGTAGAACAATATATTATCAGCAGCCTCATGCTGCATTCTTCATTGCTCTCTTCTCTCCACATCCTACCATTGGAAATTGTCATATGCCCTTCTCTCATTAGCAACTTACTCGGACAACATCTATTTACTAGGAAAGGAAGCTTCACTTTCCAGTGAACGGTCTTATTTTCTTTTTCATAACTTTTATATTTGTTTTGCATCCTCTCCTCTTTGCTCTCTAATGTTCATCGTTCTATTATGTCCTATTTCTAACTATCGTCTACTTTTATCATCTCTATTCACTTTTTTCTATTTCTATTCTATTTCATGTTATCAACTGACTTCTGTTATCATCCTTTTTTTTCCTTTTGGTCATTACTCATTTCAATATATCCATCTTGTTCCCTGTTCTCATTCTACTTTTACCTCCATATCTCCAGTTCAAAGACGTTTTCTTATTTACACTCGGCAGTTTTTTATATATTAGTTTGTGTGTGGGTGGGTGTGTATAACCACCACACTTCCGCCAATAACTGCAATACCATCTTCCATATTTATAAAGTAACTCAGAAAATCTATCCATTTCTAAAGCATTGATGCATAATACAAACTGCTATATTATATTGAATAAATAATACATTGAATAAATAGTAAAATAAAATGCAGAAAGAGAACATCGTTTTCTTTTGATAAAGGAAAATGAAAGTTGGTGAAATATTTAAAATTATTATACTCACTTTCTCTAGATCCCCGTGCACCAATAATTGCTGTGCTTTGTGGTCCAATTTCAACCTTGTTCAACTGAAGTTAAATGAGAAACAAATATCAATCCATGTATTTTTATGCATAGGGGAAAAGTTTCACAGAGAAGACCATTATTATCAAAACAAAAAGTGAATAATAAAAGGGAGCATACAAAAGCAGAGAAAGAGAGATCAAAGAACTAGCTACTGTTTGAGGCAGAACTTTTAGATTTTGATGAAGATAAACATTGAAATAATCCAGAAATGGAACAATTCAAATAAAGTAAATTTGGTGAACTAGCTTTTCAACTTTTCTCTTTAACTTTCTTTATCTCTTTCCATTACAGAAGAGATTATGAAAGAGATTACTTTTAAAAAAAATAATGAGTCAACTATAGAAATAACTAATGCTAAAAAGAAAACATGAAAAACAGCATGCTGCAACTAGGGGAGGAATGGTATTAACAACCACCATTAATGCAGTTTCAAAACCAAGAATCATTTATAAATAGCAGATCGCAAAAAACTGCAGATATCATTGCAGCCAAATAGCAGTTGAAAGAAAACAAGTTTACAAGACAATTAAGAACAGCATACTTTTTTTCTTTTAAAAATGAATTGAATGGATTATCATCCTCGCAGGAGATGGAGGATGGTATGTTGAAAGGCAATCGAGGCAAACCACAGCTTATATATTGAGAGGTTATGCATTAGGTTGATAATAGGAATAACTCTAACTCTTCATTTTTTATTTTAAAAACAAATCACGTGAAACACACATGATGCCTCTTCAGTTTTATTATTTAAGAAAAAACTAAAGTCTATTTTCTATGCTATTACCGCTACAACCGCTATGGCTGAAACTGAAATAACAGCTGCTATAATAGAGAAGAAACTGGGATAGCATCACAGTTTTCAAATCCGTTTAAGGTTGTCAAGATCGAGATCTTGCGTAAGATCGGGAGGGAACAGTAAAATCGTAAAACATGAGATCGTAACTAAGATAGGAAGATCTTACCCAATTATTTTTGTAAGATCGAGAGGGAGTAGCAAGATCATAAATCGTAAGATGTTAATAAAACGAAAAATTATACTATGTATTTGAAGTTTGTTTACATGATACTTTGGTAGGCAAGTGTATTTGTGAGAAAATGGCCTCCACCGAACCATAATTGTTGCGCCTCAGCATCTTGTCAACCCACTCGGCTTGTAATGTTGGTGGCGGAAAACGGCGAGCATGGCCAGAAAACGACTCATTGTGGCAAGAACTGGCCAAGATTGCACAAAATCAATAGGTTTAATTTTTTTTTCACAATTTGGCTACAACACGCGATTCTACTTAAGATCGGGATTGTTATCTAGATCGAGATCTTGACAACCAACTTACGCGGGTGCTGCTATAGCCAGTATTTGATGGCGCTGCCAAGAACCCTTGGAAACTAAACATGTCTGAATTCCCAATACATGCAGTCATATCATATGCATTGGGATTCAATGAATAATGATTCGGTCATGTTAATTAAAAAATTTCCGATTAGTTAGACAGAAAAACTCTTGAGCTAAATCTTAGTGATACTCCATCCAATTGAGCAGACTATGGATCTTATGGATAGTGGTGATCAAGGCATTGAGGATCTAGGTGTAGACATCAGGTATCGGGATACTCCATATGAAGAATAGGTTGTTATTGGCCTTTATCTGACTATTAATTGGTCTCAGTAACCGAAAACTCATTTTATACATGAACACGACAAGTAAGGAACACGACAAGTAAGAAACACGACAAGTAAGGAACACGACAAGTAAGGAACACGACATGTAAGGAACACGACAAGTAAGGAATACGACAAGTCAAGAATACGACAAGTAAGGAATACGGCAAGTAAGGAATACGACAAGTAAGGAATACGACAAAATCATTAATTTATCATAAACATAAACATTTTAAAGTATAAATTTTGCATGCATATCTTATTAATCTTCATACTAAAGCATGCAAATGAAGATATTGTAATCATCACGAGACTCGGTCACTTATTATCTTTTTTGTATTTGTTTAAAATTTGATCAATAATGATAAGTAAGCTAAAAAAACTCGTGAGCTAAATCTTAATGATATCCAATGATTAGCTGATTATGGATAGTGAGGAGACATTGAAAATCTAGATGTAGACAACTTGGATTGGATATGATAAATTAAGAATAGGATGTTAATTGGCTCCATTTGACAGCAAGATGTATCCATAACTGAAAATTCATTTATACGTCTTTCCTAAACTAGTCTTAACTCACTCGTATTTGATATATTTGATAAATTAATTTTACAGATACATATATATAATCAAATATATAACTTTAAGCAGTGTTGTCCATGGTGGAGAGCCAAAATCCCGTCATACAAGACGCTTTGCAGCACCATTATAGCGGATTATGGCAGAAAAAACCCGCAATATTGACTGATATTTACCATTGCGGCAAGCCCAAAAATCGCCGCATAAATCTGCCGTAGCGCCGCAATTGCGGATATTTGATAACCCTGACTTTAAGTGCATAATTTTAATTTTAAAACTAATGTGCAAATTAAGATAGTAAATGATCACAATATTCAATCACGAATCCAAATAAAAGTCCAAGTATTCACAAGAGCATAATATATTTTAATTTTACACCCTTACCTTCCAAAAAGCAGTGCTGAGATCATCAATATCAGAAAGAGATTTTACATCCTCAACCTTCAATTGAAATTTTTTAAAAAAATTAGCCGATACAAAATTTTAGCATCGTAATCATAAAATTCAAAAGACTGATAAACGAGAATAGGTTATATATTTTTTAAAAACGCGTACAGGAAATTCAAATGAAAAGGAAAAAAAAACAATTATGGTAAGAAAAGTGAATTAAACCTCGTCTCTATTATTAAGAAGGAACTCCTCCTCATTAGAGTCGGGCAAACAGTCATCATCTTCTAACCCTCCCAATTCAACTTCTTCTACTCGAGCATTTTGACCGAAAAATGCATACTGTGTTGCATCAAAAACTGCACCTTCTGCAAAAACAAAAACAAAAACATCTTCAGTCAAAGACCTAGCACCAATCTCTTAAAACAAATTCACATGAAAAAACTACACATTATAGCGTCGTAAATAGCAAAAACCAAAACAGTAGATGCATTTTCATTTCCAAAAAAATACAGAAATATCATTCGAAATCTAACACTAAAATAGTTAACAAATTAATGCATATAAAAAATAACATTCTACGGTGTCCCGTTAAGCCAACTCAGTTGGTAGTTGTGCAAAGACATCAGACTGCAGGTGGGCGGATGAAACAGTTTTATCATCAACCAGAACCTCTAACAACATCACAAACTCAAAAATTAAAACAAAAAAAACACAGTTCTGATTAATAATCTAATCAACATGAAAAATTTCAAAATTCCACAAAACTATAAACTCTAGTTAATGATTATACTAAAAGTAAATCACTATCTGAAACACACCAGATCTAATTATACAATTTGAATTTTAAAAAAATACAAAATCAAACACCAAATTACAAAATAAATTAAAAAGTTAGAAAATGAAAATAAAAAAATCAAAAACAGTTGAAATTAAACCTTTCGGAATATCCGGAAATTGATGAAGATCTAGTTTATTGGGAAGTCCTCCAACATCATCCCCGCCACCAAATCCATCCATCTCTACCATAAAAAGGCAAAACTACAGAAAACACGAAGAGAAAACGAAAAGGATTGAAGAAAATTGAAAAGCGCAGGGTAAAGAGAAGAAGAAAAAGAAAATTGAAGAATAATTCTGAGTAAATTGGATTTGGATCGGGGGAAAATGGAAAGGGCGTAGGTATTTAAGAAAAGTTGAGAAGAACCCTAACACCAAAACGACTCGTCCATTGTTCTACCTCTAGATAATACATATATACATAAATAAATAAATAAATACACCTGTTTTTCTGAATTTTAAAAATTAATTAACGCTGGTCTTTGTTATAACAAAACATTAACAATAATGGTGTGTGTTATTTTCAAAATGTTTCTAATATTTATTTTTTTAAATATTTGTTTATTAAATTTGATAGTTAAGACATATTACCTCAACTTTCAAAATGTATTAATTATTTTTTTCAATATATAATTATAAGGCTCTCTTCAACTTTCAAAATGTATTAATTATTTTTTTCAATATATATTCTTATTCATATTATATTTTTTTATGTAATTTGTAATAAACATATTTATATAAATATAAATTTTTTTCTTCTAAGAATAAACTTTAAAATTATATAAATAGTCAATAAATTTAATATTATAACCAATTTTTAAATTAGCATAATTTAATATATATTATCTTATATTTAGGGACGGAAGTAGTATTAAATTTATTTAAAGTGAATAAATATTTGTATCTTTGAGTATATTAAATATTATAAAATTATTTTTATTGTTTTTAAAATATTATCTTCTCTATTTAATATTTCATTTTTCTTTTATTATCAATTATAATTTAAATTTTTAATTTTATTTAATAAATTAAAGTAAATAACATCTAACTCAACTATGAAATGTCAATATTATTAGAATAAAACTTTGCTTTTAGTTAAACCTGAAACTTTAATAAAACTTTGTTTTTAGTTAAACCTGAAACTTTATAGTTTTTTTATAAGCTTGAAATTTTATGGTTAATTGAGTTTTTAATAAGTAATAAAAAATATAAAATAAATAGTTTTTTTTATTTTAAGTAAGTTATCTTGTCTCTTTTCTAGAAAGATGGCTTATAATTAAAATTTGATTATTAAATTCGCAATTATTTATATTTATGATTTTAATTTTGCAGATTGCAGCTGATTATATTAATTATTTTAATTGTTTTAAAATGTTTAAAATATTATCTTTAAATATAACATTTATTTAGTATAAATGACAATAGGGGTATAAGTGGATCAGAAAAAAATCAATTAAACTGGCAATTCAAATTAAATTAAACTTAAAAAAATTATTGTTTTTTGTTCGGTTTCAAAATCGAATCGAATTAATAAAAATCGATGCGAATTGGTTCGATCTTCAATTTTAGTTTTTAAAAACTGTCAGATCAATTATCTGGACAATAGCTATAATCACTCTCTAAATCTTTTATTTCACACGTCATTAATCTCAAATTTTGTATTGGTTCATTCATTCTCCATTTTTATTTACATTTCTTTTCTTTGAGTAAAACACACAGGTATAACCAAACTCCAAATACAAAAAGTATAAATCATAAGTCAGAAAAACTTGCTCTCACGAAACTGTTGCTCTCGCCGTCCGCCACCATTGTTGCTCTCTCTATTATTGTTCTTATGTATTATAGTTGTCTTTTTTGTGTTCAAGTTCTCTTTGTTAGTTCTTATCTTCTTTTTTGACATTTTTTGTTTCTTCTTCTTCGACGAAATTCCTTCTAATCTTGTTGCAAAATAGTTTTGATGTTTGTTTAAGGTATGAAACATGTTAATTTATGTGTATTGAACTTTTTATTATTATTGTTTTGTTTTATTTGTTAAGCTTTCAAATTCCTTTTCAACCTTCTCATACCAAATATCAATTTTTATAGTTGATAGCGAACTTATTTTATGATGCAATAAAAATCATGTCACTATCTTGTATGGATTAAGAATAATTTACAAGTTGTTTGAAAAATAGAACATGAATTAATTATATAAAATATATTATTTAAAAAAATAATAATAATATAAAATACACCGAAAAACACGATAGTGGATAATACACATATACATATAATATTGACAAAAATATTGTAAACGATTAACCAAATTGAACCAAGCCGGTTAATTTGATTTGGTTTCATTTTTTAAGAATACTAAAAAATTTCTAAACTAAACCGACGGAGATATCATCACTTCAGATATTTTTTTTAATCAAATATTGATTCAAACTGATCTTATTACACTGCTAAATGACAATAAATAAGAAATTTTATTATTAGATTAAATTTGTTTAATAATTGATATAACTTTTATAGTTTTATTGTATAAGAGAAATAAATAATATTTTATAGAGTATTTATTATAACTTATAGAAAAATAGTTAATATTTTTAAGAGTATTATTGATAAAGAAATAATTAGTATAATTGATAATTTGAAATAAATCTTATAAATAGATAAATTATGTTAGAAATATATATTAAAAGAGAAATATGATAAATAAATAAATAAATAATAAAAATAAATAATAATAGTTACTATTTTAAAAATAAATATATATATTATAAAATTATAATCAAATACTCGAATTAAATAGGTTGGAATAATTATTTAAATCAAACACTTTACATTAAGTTTTTTAACATTAAAAGTTTTCAAAACTTTCTAATGCTTAACAATATATAAAATAAGAATTATAGAAGGCCTAACTCTTTTAGATTTGAGAGAGCTTAGATAATTGAGTGAGATCATGAAGAGGCGGTGAAGAATGTTTTGTCTCAAACTCAACAAAATTGAATCCTCTGTAGTTGAGATTTCAACGCATTCACGCAGTCGAATTTTTAACAATCGTTTGATTTTAATTGCACGGCTTAGAAAATTTGATTTGATTTTTTTTAAATATTAATTTTAATCAGAATTGTCTGATTAATATCAAACAATTAAATATGGTTGAATGTGTGAATGCGTGTTAATTTGATTGTAGGAAATAAACATCCAAACTCAACCTTGCACTCTATTTATTTTAAACTAGGTTAAAGATGAGAATTTTTTTTATTAATAACCAAGTATTAAAATAATATTTCGCAAATAACCGGGTTTCGGAAAAAATTACGCAAATAACCATGTTTCAGATGACTCCCCAAAGGAGGAGCCATCTGAAATGGCGCATGCACCTACCAATTTACCCTAGGCGTCATCTCACTTGGCGCCTCCCTTGGCTTTTAGCCAAGTGAGATGGCGCATGCTCCTTAAAAGTGAGAGGAGGCGCCATCTCACTTGGCTCCTAGGGCAAAACTAGGACAAAATGCTGTTTTATAAATAATTCGTCTGTTTCTCTGAAATTTCTCACACTTTCTCGCACTGTATTTTTATTTTGTACTCTGTTATTTGCGTCATGACATCTCCTATGATTTTTAGCAGAGATGGTTACGTTATCTTCTCCGCCACGAAACTTGCGATGAAAATGAAATTCTAGCACATTCACTCCATGGAGCGTCTGAAGCGGGAGTTGATGCGATGGCTAGATGGAGACATTGCGGAGGGGGGAAAATTTGAAGGATCCAGCGAAAACGAACAACAACCTCACATGTGACAGGAAGACCTAATGTGTGGTTGGAGGAAGTCAAAACAGACAGCGATGTAATGTTGATGATGCATGGGTCAGATGAAATTGTGTTAACAGTTGTAATTTCGTAGATGGAATATCGTTAATTATTCTTGTACGCGTTTTATTAATTGTAGCAAAATCTGTTAACGGAAAACCCAAATGTTTACAACACAATTAAGAAAAGATTTTATGTATTACAATATTTATGTGGTCGAGCCAGACGCCTGATTTGGACAGTTTTTGCGATTGTGTCTGACCTGACGGCATAAACCACACTTTCTTTCCAACCTGTCAAGATCGTCTATTTCTGTTGTGATGCGCTTACTTTTGGGACGACCCTTCTTGTTCCTTCGCATTTGGTCATTGTGCCACACTATTTCGCCGTCGTATGCAGGCCAATAATCTGGTTTTGCTACCAAAGGAAAGTTATTGTTGTAAACGTTGAGCGACGTTTCAGATTTGTAAATGTTTGACAGAAGTTGCAGCGCGTCTTGATGGGTATGAGCACAAGCGGAAATGACATGAGAGCAAGGCATATGAAATGCTTGAAACGTGCCATAATCGCACCATTGAGAAGGTAGCATGACCCTATATTCTTGTCTTGGCAGGCCTTCATTGTGGTCGATTGTCTCTTTCACAATGAAGTTGTGGCTGTGTCGGTCAAACCGTATAACCATATGAGTGTTGGCTTTAGCACTTTCAGCCTTAATGTATTTCATGCAGCTTTCACTCCATAGTTGTCCAGATTACAACACCGCATTCCATATTTCACCTCTTTTGGCAAATAACGCAGCCATCCTAAAATACGTAGATTTTACCAAGGCAGTGATTGGGAGGTTTTGTATACCTTTGAATACCCCATTCATTGATTCAATAAGATTCGTTGTCATATGCCCCCATCTTTGGCCATTATCGTATGACCTAGTCCATTTTTCCACCGGAATATTGTCGATCCACCTACTGGCTTCCGAATTTGACAAACGGATCTCGTTGCGGTAATATTTGAATGTGGGTTGTATCAATGCATATCCCGCATTCATAACCGCTTTCCTCAATGTTTTGTCCTTGATCTCCCTCGAGAAATTCTGGACGATATGCCTAACGCAATAGACATGCGTAGAAGGAGGGTCATGCCAACCATTTGCTGGATTATTGTAGGCACTTTCAATGGAGGTATGTATGTCCGAGATCAAACAGAGATCTGGTTGAGGAGCCACGTGTGTCCGCAGATTTTTCAGGAAAAAGCTCCAAGCACCACCGGTCTCCTCCTCGACAAGGGCAACGGCAATGGGGAAAATGTTGTTGTTGCCATCTTGTGCAACTGCCATCAGTAGCGTGCCTTTGTACTTCCCATACAACCAAGTCCCATCAATTTGTATAATTGGTT